CGCTCTACATATGAGGGGTGATTTCATCCCTTAAAACCGTTTTTCAGCAGCAACGGAAAATGTCAATACTCATCTATTGACCTCCCTTACATGTGTGCAAAGTTTCATCAAAATCAGAATTTTCGGGTTCGCGAGGTTCCCTTGTAAGTTGAATAAATCTAAAACTTCAATAAAGAAAAAACTTTTTCGCGGCTTGCGCCCTCACACAACTTCGAGATTTTCCTCGAAGTAATTTTTGGAGGCTCGATTCAGCTTGCCAATCAACCGATAGACTCCATTGAAAGAGACTGGACCTAAAAAAATCCTTAGGTGATAGCGGGATTCGAACTCGAGACGCCTCCGTCGTATTCGCAGCCCCTGCACTCAGTCCGCGAGACTACTTGTTTCTTACTAAAATGTGATTATTTTTATCTACTTATCCTCAAGCTATCCTATACGCATTTTATTTATTATTTCTTTAAATTATTATTCTATTAAAAATATTGCAGTGCAATGTATCTGCAATAGATAAAAATATTTCTCTTATTATTATTACTTATTTATTATACTTCTTATAATTTAAAGTACATTTTTACGCAAAATTTTTTGTCTCAAACAATGTTATATTTAAATCAAATACATTTTATGTTATATTTATGTTACAAAATGATTTTTTTTATTAAATAATGCTTATTAAAACCAAATAAAATATTATTTCGTTGGAATAAATTATTTCAAAGAGTTGTATTGTTTCCGTCAAATAATTTGATTTATTTTAACGTAACAATATAATTTTCATTCAACAAAATTGTTGTTTGATATAAAATTATGTTGTTTGAATGCAACAAATATGAGTCAAACAAATCGGATTATTAAATTAAAAAAAACCGTTCTCTCTGTGTATAAAAACCATATCTTTTACATTAATATTTTTCGAAAAAAGTTTGGTAATTGTTTAGAACAGAAAAATAATAGAACAATTTTTTATTACTAAAATACTAGTATTGGCAATAGTAATATAACTCAGCATTTCTGTAAGAAATATTTTTTATCCTTATTTTTTCTTGGAGACCTGATACTGTTCGCCGTTCAGCTTATATACTCGAGAGAAGGGATCGACCCGGAAAAAACTCTAAGGTGTTGAATGGATTTGAACTCGTGATCTCCTTGTTTGTAGCCCCTGCACTCAGACTGCGAAGCTATTAGACCTAATTATTAAATTATTCTCTATTTCAGAAACATAAGTAAACTCTACCTAACCTCTACATTCAAAATTTCGACGATAGTTAAAGAAGTAAATAAAAAAAATACAATACTTTCTCTGGAATGTAAACGACGTCTTTTACAGAAAAATATTACTGGTTATATATCCTCGGCACAAATATCATCAGTAATTTTGTGCCAGTAATGTACTAGTATGGTAAAATTTTCTTATACAGAAAAGTAATAAAATTATTTTTAAAAAATGATATAAAATATGTCAAATAAATATATAATAAAGTTTAACAGATCCCGATCGTTCATGTTCAAAAAACGTCCAGAGAACGATAGAATGTTCTTTGAAAAATCAACATCTAATATAGATAATAGACAAAGGAAATATCCTCTAGACATCCAGTTGTTATCCAGAGGACAATTATATTTTTTACACTACATAAAAATTCTAAATTACATTAAATTTTCTATATAATTAAAAGTAATCATGTATGCATAGTAAATTTTCATAAAATACATTTATAATGATATCTTAAAATGTCCTGGGTCGTCTTGGATATTGTTAGGATAATCCTAAGGACGTCTTGTGCTATATGGGTAATATCCCTACTCTTAGCCTAACCCAGGATTAACGTCATAGACGTGTTGGAGACTGATCCCGTGTTTGTGTGTGTGTGTGTGTGTGTGTGTGTGTGTGTGTGTGTGAGTTTAGAATTGGAAAATACTACGAAAGTGACGAACCATGGGGTCCTTATCTCTGTTGTGACACACATCACTGATGACCAGGGTTGGGTTATTCGAGCATTTTCTAGAGTTTTTTACATTTTACTGTTTTTTACGGTAAAATACGTATAAAACGTATAATTATCAAAGTATAATATTATGTTTGTAGAAATGCAAATTACATTTATCAATAAATTTTTTAAGCTTGTTGACTGACCTAGAATCATTGAACTCTATATACACTGGAATGCGCATCGAAGAAAATTCATGGCACAAATTGATCAGCGCCAATTTTGTTTGGCCTGGTATTTGAGCAAATCAGAAGCGCGTTTCACGCGCGGTCCCGCTACAACCCTGACGAAAATAAGAAGCTTTACAGAGCGTTGATAACCGTTTAATGAGAATTTTCTGAGAGTTTATACGCTTTATAACTTTATAAGAATGCTTATATAACGCTAAAAGGTTTGAACTCTTTTGGAACGCTTATCAAACGCTATATATAATGTTTTCTAAACATTCTGCAATGATAAGGCTTTTCACAAAACGCTCAGTAAATACTGATAAATTTTCGTACAAAGAGTTTGCTGACAGACTTTTCAAACGGTTAGCAAATGCTTTTATGAGTAAGTAATAAAAAATATTAAAAACTACACATTAAAAATCAATTCATTTATTATAACTCAG